CCCCCCCCCCCCCCCCCGCCCAAAGCCCAGCCCAGCCCAGCCGCCAGGCCAGACATGCTTCATCAGCAGCAGAAGACGACGGTGAAGGTCAGTTGGAGTGACAGAGCGCAGGGCAGCACGGGTCTTGGAGTGCAGGGTGGCGAGGGCAACTGCAGCTGGGACAGGGCTGGGGCGGCTGCAGAGATGAGTGGGAGAGAGGTGGGTGGGGGGAATTGGAGACAGTCTCTTACCTTACTGAGATTCGGGGCTGGGAGGGACCAAGTCCAGAGTGACTTGGATTGGGGTGGGTACTTGCTTAACAACCAGCAATTCTTGGTTAATGATGGCAACTGGGACTGCCAGGATTGCGGTTGCTAAGCAATACGGTCATGTGATATCTCACTTTATGACCACATTGCTTCGCGACACAAATTCCGGTCCCAGTTTTGTCAAGGACTATCTGTATCATCTTTAGAAACATGCAGAACGACAGGCAATACAGATAGGCAATGACTTGGAGCCAAAAAGGTAAGGATGCTTCCAATGTTTGTTATTTCCCCTTTGTTGCAACAAACCCTACAACATGACATGAGTCTCCCCAACTCTCAGAAAGAGACCTCTGTGGGGAAGAGGAGGCTGCAGAGGAAAGGAGGGTGTGAAAAGATCCTGTTGTGTTCATGAAACAGGAGGCTGAATCAAAGCCTATACTTGGAAAAACACAGTATGTTGCAATGGCATTACAACTGTCTCGGTCTCTCATTCTGGCTCCATTCTCCATCCAAAATATCACTAGGCTTACAGAAAATCCTGATGTACCAATGTTCCTAGACAAATAACCAAGTTAAAATTAACGTAAGTGAGGCAGAGGTTACTGGAATCTGAGTGGCAGCTCTCCCATGCCAAGCAACTGCTGCTTGGCATCAAAGCCTGCAAAGATGCAAAAATAAGCAGCTAATCCTGGCATTAGAATCTCCTACATTACATAGCTCAACCTCCACCCACACTGCTCATGTTGCTGTTACACGGGAGGCTTGTTAAATGTCTTATTATTTATTCCTATTATCACATTTATGATTTTCCTGAAATGAAGAAGTAACTTAAACTTACTTTCATGTTACTCTGATTTCTCCAGAACCTTAACTGTTTGCAGAATTCAAGTAACAGGTACAAAAATCTATTTAATCCTACTCATCTCTCCAGGTAAAGAATCAGCCACAGAAATCCTCGGAAGTCATGGAGAAGTGATAGCATAGGTAGGGATCCCGAGAAATCAGGCTTGAATTGCGATACATATGACACTACTCATATTCCAATTCATGGATATATCTATTAACCAATGACACCATTAATGATAAAATACTTGAACTAATTCAACTATTGTATATAAACAAATTTACATGTTATAGTATCTCAGTGTTAAATTCTTCTGAAGATCCTGAATATAAATGATGGCTTCTTAACATGGTGTTGTACCACGAGATTGGCAACAACCAAAATTTAAACTCATATTTGGACATGCTTCCTTTCCTATTTAGTAAAGATGCTCCCCCCACCCCATGGGCCTCACACCCGATTTTAATTGATGGCATTGTTTCAACTTTGGGTAGGAAATTGAAATGCAACAGTTTTCACACCCAACGTAATCCTGATAATGGGATATAAGGACATATGGCAGCCTTTAATCAGCGTATGAAGAATTTAGAAGACTAATCAGATCCAGCTGCCATTCCAAAAATCTTGTTCTTAGGTAGTTGCTCACCTTCTTTCAAGCCTGCTAGATATTTAAGCCAAATAACAGTTTTCAAATTCAGAGCAGCCCTAACCCTGGCAAGATGTAATGCCTTTCCAACAATTCCTTTTGAGGGGAAGATATGGCGTATTAGTAGCCCTCACTTAACAATGGTAATCAGGAATTTCCATCGTTAAGCGAAGTGGTCCTAAAGCGTAATATCACATGATAATGTCGCTTAGTAACGGCAGTTCTGGCAGTCCCCGTCATTAAGCAAATCACTGCGGGTTGTTAAGCAAGGACCTCATGTGACTGTGACTTCTGACTTCGTGCCAGCTTCTCTATTGACTTTGAAGCTGGCAGGGAAGGTTGCAAATTATGATCAGGAAGGCCTTGTGGGGAGGGGCAGCAGCTGCCATGGCCGGGCACGCTTCATCAACAGGGGAGGAAGAAGACGGCAAAGGTCAGCCGGGGGTGGCATGGAGTGGCAGGGGTAGGCAATAGCGAAGTGCAGGGCAGCCAAAAGGGCAGAGATTGGGGGAGATAAGTGGGTGGGGGCAATTGAAACACACCCACCAGTCGTAAATGTGGATGGGCCACCAAGTGCCCAAATTTTTATCACATGATTGTGGGGGCACTGCAACAGCAGTTAACATCGAGGACCAGCCATAACTATTATTCAGTCAGTGTCATCATAACTTTGAACAGTCGCTGAATGAATGGTAGTTAAGCGAGGACTACCTGTAATTTAAAATACCACTCACTGGAAGAAAAGGCAATACTTAATACTTCCCTGGTCATCTAACTGAGCATTTTAAACTTGAATAATATATTGGAGCCATCATTTCCATCACAATTGTATTATACAAAACAGAAGATTAAAAGACCAGTATATGAATATTTAATCAGCTGTAAATTCACTGGGGCTTATACTGAGGTAACTGTGTAAAAGGATTAAGTGGCAATAAAACTATTAAGTCTCAGCAGATGATAGTACTTGGCCTGTGTCTGGACTTAGAAAGGTTAGTACTTGGATGGGAGACCACCAGGGAATACCAGAGTTGTAGGTTACATAAGGAAGACAAAAAATGTCTCATAACATGGCAGTGGTAGACTATTTCTTTACTATTATGAAGAAAACTACATGGACTTGTGAATTCACTAGGAATCAAGCTCAAGGATTTTACCAATACTTAACATCAACACTACAGAAAACACAGCAACCACATTCAGTTTCCTGTGGATCTTATTAGAGGAACAATTACAGTAGGTTCACTCTGAATACAAACTAATTCCCTCCTCCCCCACTCTTCTGCCTTCAACTGTTTCTTCTTCAACTGTGACTCAATGAAAAGGCAGATTGTGCTCTCATGGGTTCTGCACAGCATTCAGCTGTTCCAGAATCCCACGTTTTGAAGTTGGCATTGATTGCTGGTTCCACCAAATAAGTAGAGCGAAAAGCAGAAGTTAATCTAATTAAACAAAGATGATGGTTTCCTACTGTATGTCAAAAAAACATCAGCAGTCATATGATGTCTACTGGAACACATATAAATTTTGCCACATCCTTTGCACTGTTCAGGTGTTCAGTTACCATTTTTTTCATTAAATGAATGTGTGCAACGGCAGTCTTCACCATAACTGAAAAGGTACTGAAAGTACTTCAAAGGTTCTATTCAAGGAGCTGTTTATCATATATGACTTATTTATACCTCTGTGGTTTTCTTTCTATTTAAAATAAATCTTTAGTTACAGAATTTTATTTCACTATAGAATAATAGTTTTGTAACAAACTTTGGGAGTAGGGAATAAGGCTGTTGTGTTTCCTTATTACCATTAAGTTGTTTACTGAAGAATTCACATAATAAAATATCATGTTCTTTTTAAGCAATTGGTTAAGTAACTGAAAGAAACGCCACTAGAATGTTTAAAGTGTTACGGATTTTTCTTCTAGATGAGGCTACAAAGGCAGAATGTGGTGGTGGGGGAGCTTACAAATAAGTTCTTCAGGCCAATCGTCTCCTCCTCATTTCACGTCATTACTGTCTGGACCCAAAAGCATAGTACTGTACTCTATTTTTCTAACCACCGGCCACATTCGATATCTTAATGTTCTACTATAAAACTCTATTGAGGAAATGTAACTAGGTCTTCTTTTTCTCTGAGGTAGCCAACAATAGGTTCAATTGCATTAAGATGCAACTGCTCTGCTGTGTTCCTGGCTAAAAAAGAGACTATCACAACAGAGGTTGCCATAGTACTGCAAGTACAATGACAAGACAGATGCAGTTTGCTACCAACCTACTCAATTGGTTAAACTAGCTATTTGCATAAAAGCTGCCTTACCAGATCAGACCACAGCCCCATCAAGTTCACCATTCTATTTTCAACAGATATGAGCCAGATGCCAGCAAGAAGCCCAACAATGAAGGCTACAGCCCTCCAGGACTAGGAATATGTTTTTTCCATTAAACTAAAACTGAGAACCATTAAGAGCCTACTGTCAATGAATTTCTCCACTTGACTTTAAAATCAGCAGCTAGCACCACTGTGTATCAATTATAGACCAATTCAAGACTTACCCAAGAGGATTAAATAAATGACAAATGGACTTTAAGAAAAATATACCAGGAACAGCTCACATAAAATCACACCTACTGTTACAGCTATATATTTACTAAAAGTCGTTGCAGGAACAATCCTGGAAATACAGTGTTACTATTTGTATTATTTGAGATACCTCATTTATAATTCTAGAGAGTTCATCCAAGATTTGAAGGCAGATCTAATCCCTTATTTCTGCCTATATAGCACTGCAGGGATTAGAAGATCTGCATATGACTGCAGATTAACCACAGCTAAATAGAAAA